TGGTAAATGTGCTTTCCTAGTGTCATTCCTGCGTGAATGATAGCAAAATCACAGTTGCAAAGTTCCGGTGCGGCCGCATTTCGTCATAAAATCGGCTGCAACGCGGAGTTCCGCTAAGTTCCGCTAAAAAAATAATATAATCCACTTCTGCCCATTTACATCACTGATTGTGGCGCTTTTGGCCTCAAACTTGCTTATGCAAAAGTTGGTTGTTTCATCAATAAATTTCCTCAACTTTTTGCAAATGGAATTCCTAACGTAGTACCGGAGTACCTGCACTTTTTAAGTTAAATGACGCTACACGTATTGCGCCCTTTACGGGCACTTTCTCTTAATCTTCAATAACAATAGCGAGAGGGACACGAAGGGGCGTACCGCATGTGCCATGGTCAGTAAAGTGGCAAAGCTGCGAGTTACATGTCTTGCTGGAAAAGGCTTGTTTTAATGATGCTGTTTTAGACACTTCAACTCATTCCGTCCTTTACAACTCGCCTATCTATCCCAGCCCAAAGTGAGTTTCAAACAGAATTGTTTTGAACCCGTCACGAAAATTTTTTCAATAAAATTGATTTGAAAAAACACGGTTTTTGTAATGAAGCTTTGTAGCTTATAACTTCTTTATTCCTGCAGTCTAGCAAAATAGCCAAAGAAGTGAATTAGGAGGCTTAGGGAATACTTTATTAAAGGAACTTAAGAGCATGTTGTTTTCGTCTTAAGAAGAGGAAGAAAGTTATATTTTTTTTGACGGCATATTTGAAAAAAAAAATATGAGTTTTTGCTATTTTGGTAGGGCACAAAAGTCTTTTCTAAAATAATCAGAAACATCTACTTTGTTCTATGTTCTGGTGCATTCAAGAAGTATTGGCGGCTTAGAAGAGGAGCTTCGGTTATGGACAAAGCAGTTTTGTAGGCATAACAATTCAGCCCTTATGCGCAAGTTTTACATCAAATTTAAAAGCGGTTTTGCCACCTGCTTTTACTCCAGACCAGTTAGATCTGGTATCAGGATGGTTCCAGTGTTAGGTGTCAGTCTTGAGACTAATATGTTATTAAAACTGGAGAGTGCGCTTCGAAGGTTGTTGCTCAGAGTAACTTCTCGCAACATCGTTGTTTCAAAAATTCCTAGTTCGTAATCGTCATCAGCGTTTAAAGAAATCTCCTTCTGTGGAAGTAGGGCTAATCTGAAGCTCTTTCAGTGCGGTGGCTCCATTTTACCTTCAGCCAATCAAGCCAATGAATTCTAATCGTAATGAATGTTGGCGTGTTTCACTACGGAAGATTGGGCCACTGGACTGAAAGGGAGCCGCTAATGTTTGGTTTTTCTCTACATCATGGAGAAAATTTTAACATTGTAATGCTTTTCAGAAATGCCCACTTTATGTTTTAAATGAGTTCTTCTGCCGAAAACCGTAAGCGGCATTCACGTACCGAAGATGGATTAAAAAAATCTCTTGTTTTACGAAAATTTTGGCAGTTTATTGGATCTTTTGCAAAAATGCTTGCTCTCCTGGTCTATTACACGAAGTTGGGGCTGTTAAAATAAATAATAAATAAAACGAAAGATGCTGTTCTAACCCATTCAAAACTAGTAGAAGAGCCCTTCTGAAGAAAAAGAATTCAGAGATTTTTATTTTTCAAGTTTCTTTGCCCTTTTATTACGGAATCAATTCACTGCACAAAAAATAGTTGTAGCAATGGATCAAAAGGGATTTTCTTTTCAAGTAGATTTTAATTGCACTAACAAAGGGCACCTCACCTTCAAAAGCGGAAACCACGTTCAAATGAGATTGACTTTGTGTGGGGTCTTGCGCAAAACGGCGTTTCAGCCAAGCAGTGCACCTTCTACAGATGGAACCTTCACTAGTGCTAAAGATTCGTAAAAACTTCTTCAGTCCCGACTTCAGAACCGTCACTGAGGAGGGCTTGAAATCCAGCAGCAGAAAGGGTTTGGAGAAGCCATGCGCCCAAAAAGAAATGTCAAAATTTTAGGTTTATAGTATGCTGCATCTAGAATAGCAAAATGTCTCATATAAACTCGTTTAAAATGCGTTGCGGTTTGGGAGAGCTGCTGGTAAACTGAAACCGCAGAATGAAAGTACAGTGGAAAGGATTGTTGGTTACTGGCGTGTTCGAGCCTCTTCATTCCCAAACTGCGTCACGTGAGAAACGTGTCTGCTGGGACTTTCTGACCGTTTGGATGTGAAGCATGGTGTTGTACGATTCCGGGACGGTCTTCATGGTATTCAGGACGCCCATCCTGGAAGCCTATACAGTTATTAGAATGCTCTAAGAATGAGCAATTGAATAAGTCAACTTAAAGAAAGGTCGCTAGCCAATTATTGAAATATTTTCTTTTTAGCTAGTCCGTATTTCTTGTGGAAGACTGCTACAGATCATGTACATTTTTTGCCCATTAATGGAATTTATTCTGGAGCCAGCACATAATATAAAGTTCGAAGAACGAAATACTTAGCTGTTTCAGTTTGATTATGGGTCGTGGGTCGGTCTTTCTGATTGTATGTCTTATTTTTCTGTTTTCTTTCTTGTTTGTATTTTCGAGGATTCCTTTCATTTGAATAATTCATTTTGGAACAAGTTTAAACCTATTGAAAAGCTCTAAGAACAAACTAATCAACAGTAATCGACATGTTTTTGTCTTTTTAGTTGTAGGATTTTATTCTAATGTGGCGTGAAAATTTTTGGAAGGGAAAATGCTTTGTCTTTAAGAAATTGCAGCGGCATTGGTTCGTTGTCATTGTGTTATGGGAAGGTACTTCTACCTCAAACGAATGACTTCCAAAAGGTACGCTAAAATTTTTTTTTACATTTGTTTGTGATGCGTTACTGAGGGCATTTTGTTTTTCAATATTTTATCTCTTCGTATTCCGAATTTCTTGCTTTTCTGCCCTTCCTTTGTCTGCTGAGCTATCAGCAGAAATCTCAGAGTCTTTTCACTTTTTAGGCATACCTTTTAAGTTAATCACATTAATAACGTTGATTGTTATGCTGAAGCAGCTCCTCATTTTTTATGCTGTGTAGGTTTTTTCATTTCCAGCCCGTTGCTAAAGGTCCCGACTAAACGCAGTCTCTGTATGCCAAAAAAATCCGAACCCTTCGAAAGTGAAACTTCATATGGATTTAAATTCAAATCGGTTTTCGTTCACTCAGGGCACCCATTCTGGAAAAACTTTGTGAGAATTAGAATGCTCTAATTATGAGCAATTGAACTAAGTTAGCTCATGTTCCCTGTAAAAACCTGCTGAAGTCCCATGAGTTTGTTTATCCTTCAAGGGAGTTTGTTGGGAACCAGCCTATACTCATTAGAAAGTTTAAAGAATGAGCTACCTAACTTTGTTATGTGTTAAGAATTGATTTTTTGAGATATAAATCTCTTTGCTTTGTGTTTCTTGCATTTTCGGGAAACTCCGTCTGTTAGAGGGACTAAGTCCGGATCTAATCTTTACTTATTAGAAAGAGCTGAGAACAAACTACTTGACTGTTTCAGTTTGATTATGGGCCAAGGTTTATTTCTAACGACTACAAGGCCTTTTCCACACTGAGCGCACTAAGTGAATGGAAACTAAGCCGGAATCAAATGTGTGTGAAGCTACGTTTTTGAAGGGTTAGAATTTTTGCGGGAGAAAGGCATCACATTTTGGCAGAATCTTTAGCGATAGGCTGGAAATGAAAAGACGTCCGTTAATAGCAATCGACGTGGCCAAGTTTTAAAAGACATGTAGGAAAGACTTATGGTGAGACCAAAAGTAAAAGGGAAAAAGCTGCTTGAAGTGACAGACTAAAAAATTTTATTATTCAGTAAGAAAATACTGAAGAACCGCACTAGAGAAATGACAGAAGAAAGTAAAGAAAAAAGAGGAGCAGAAATATTGTTAGCGTTCATTTTTTTAAATTCTTAGGATTAGCCCACCTACTATCCGTGTTTTAGACAGAAATGTGAGGGCGAACATTTTACTGCGTAAAAAGGATGGAGTACAATAGCCCCCTCTGATGACCATCGAAAAAAATGTTAGCTTAG